CCAAAGGCGGCAATTTTGCTTTTTATATACCCATTGAGCCAGAAATAGGTTTCATCACTGAACAAAGTTTTACTTGAAAATGTCGAATCTTCTTGGAACTTTTCAAGAGTCCATAGAGCGAAGCGATGTCGCTTGGGAAGGTCGAGCGACTTCAGTTCTAGCACAACTTGTATTTTATACGCTGTCAATTCAAGAGCTCGACAAAAAATGCACCAGGTCGTTCCATAAGTCAGTCTGAGGTGCTGCGAACGGCGCAGACTCTCCGCTGTCTTCGTGTACAGTCTGTTATATTTTCTTCGCTGCGTGCTGAACGTGGTCTATTAGGTCGAATATTATCCAGTAATGAATGCTGGGTCCGAAGATGAGTGATGGTGTTGCGAATAGTGAGCATACTAGGCCGATTATGTTGACCATAAGTAGAGCGAAAAGTGCGAAACACATTCTTTTCGAAAGGTTAATTTTCGTAATAAAGTTAAACGAATTGTAAATGTTGTTCGGACGTAAGTCTATGATAAAATGCCAAGCATCACGAATCACGCGTGATCTGTTAAAACACGCTATTGAAAAAAGTACTTCTTCTTGGATCACCCCTTTTACATATGTATATATTTATTACAACTTGGAGAATGGAGTCCTGTGTGGAAGTTCACGCAAGTGACGAAAGTTTTCTGATCGTCATTCACTTGGGAGTGGCCAGAAACGATTATTTTACATATGGCTCAAGCAGCTCACGACTTCCGGTTTTTGACAATGTATCCTCTGGGTAGCCTAAGAACGTCCGTTTGAAGGCGAGCTAAAGTGAGAAGGCGAAAAATCCCCTCCACAGGGTTGTGCGCTGTGTTTGGGACCCGCCACGCTAAAAAAACACCCCCAATGAAAGGAAACAACAAGCCTTTTGATGACGACCATGGCAAACGAAATAAGGACTACGAATTGAGGGCATACACCTGGAATGTCTGGTAGTTTAATTGGGAAGGTGCCGCTGCCCAGCTGGTTGATGTCTTCGTTACAGTGAAGGCTGATATCACCACCGTCCTTGTGGCTTTACTACAGTAGTCATATAAAGGAGCTCAAGATTGGTGTGGGATTCGTGGTGGGAGAGAGACTCCGTCGCCGAGTACTATCATTCACTCCAGTTAATGAACGTCTAGCCACAATCAGCATCAAAGCGAGGTTCTTCAACATATCACTGATTTGCGCGCATGCCCTGACGGAAGACAAGGACGATGTGACCAAACATGCCTTCTAGAATCTAGCATAGGACAATTCATCAAGGTATCTGGCGGTCTCCGGATCGATAAACCACCAACTTGATCGATCATGTTGTGATAGACGAATGACATTGACTCGAACCACTATCTTATAGAAGCGAAGATACGCCCCCGTCTTTGTGTAGGAAAAAAGCACGTAAAAAACAACAAAGGGAAAGTTCGATGCCGAGAAGCTGCAATCACAACAGATAGCCGAAGGATTTTCTACTCGACTTGCACTCATACTCACCGACAGCACTCGTCAACAACTCAGTATAAGCTAACTGGTATCCCCGCAAAAACTAATACGGCTGTGTAAACTCACGTTGAGCAACACCGAAAACTCAAACGAGGTTTCAGACAAGCCGACTCCCTATCATGCGACTTCTTCAACCTGCTGCTGGAGAAAGTAATTCGAGCTGCAGAACTTAATCGAGCAGGTACAATCTTTTATAAGAATGTACAAATGATATCGATATCATCGGCCTTAACACCCGCGTCGTTAGTTCTGCTTTCTCCAGACCGGTCAAGGAAGAAAGCAGATTAGTCTGGCAGTGAACGAGGGCAAGACGAAATATCTCCTGTCATCAAACAAACAGTCGTCGCACTCGCGACTTTGCACTCATGACAGTCATAACTTCAAAGTTGTAGATAGATTCATATATTTGGGAACCAGAAGAAGAAGAAGAAGATTTATACAACTACAACAATATGCAAATTCACCTGCATTAAACCAGATAAATTTCTTCTAGACTTTATAGTCAGTTACGGAAATGGTAAATGTAGAAAGTCATCAAATGGAAAATATCAGTTGAAAAGCTAATGTTTATTGCAAACAAAAAACGAAGAGAGATTGAATGAAAAAGCAATGGTAAGGTATTGCTTGAAACAATGAGTAAAGAAGAAATGAAAGAGCAAATAACAATGCGTTTAGAAAAACGTTTGCGCAACTTAAACATGCACACGCAAATACTGACATACATGCATATGTATGTATATACGCACACGCAAATGAAGCATATATTAGAATTATTTTCTATTCGCATCGACTTTGAAGCCGTGTGATTTAGTAACACAACCATAATGGCATTGCTTTACGTGTCCGCTGATATATGTGCAAGCCTATGTATAAGTACACTTAAATAGAGCAATATACATACATATATACATACGTATTATGTAGGCAGTAACGAATAAAGTGTGAAAAAGTTAACATCTGTTGAACGGATTATTGTGAGGCTTTATTGCCACTGTAAGAAATAAGCAATTTGTTTTAAGCCTGACGTAATGATGTATAACTATGAGTTTAATCAGATGCTGATGGAAAAATATTTTTTTTTTAATATAGCATAAATCAATTTTGTTTAAAAGAAAATGATTTCGCAATAATGCGTGTTGAAATTTAATTTTTGGTAAATTCTTAAATTATAGTTAATTTTATAATAAAATAAAGGTAAGGTAAGACATTTTCCTATTTCAGTTGAAACAGTTTGTTTATAATTAGGAAAAATACTTAGCAATGAAGGAGAAAATGGCAGTTTTTAGAAATGAGAGAGCAGATGTGTCGGAAGTGGAAATTACTCTAAGAAATTTAAAGCACTTTAAGTTAGTTGGAAAAACGAAAATCATTATTTATAGTTTGTGGGAGTTGGGGCAGTATCGACATGATTTTATCTATTTTTCCCAATACCAAATACTATTAACATGTGAAATACTAATAAACTGATATTAATCCTATATATATGTACTTAGCAACGAACTGCCCGTGTCAAAGCCTCCACATTGATCAGAAAATCAGGATTCTACTCAAGCAACTAAGTTAACGTGATGAAGTATCTAAATATAGAGATCCAAGTTATGAACCATTACCTTTAAATAATCGCATTTACCGACACATAGTGATTAAAACGATTTAGTACGAATATTTCCATAGTTTACAGTTTTTTAATAGGAAATAAAGGAATTTTATAGGAAACTGTTAATCGGAAAATCACGAAGTCTTAATATACATATGTACATATGAACTTATAATGCCATATAATGCATGGGGTGTAATATATCCTTAAAAAATACATATGCTCAACACTCAACTGGATTTTTTTCTGGAAAATGTATGTGCTGTGATTGAGAAATAAGGCGGATGGTTCCATCAGGACAAAAATAACTTCCAGAAGCCAAATATTCACGAAAATCAAAACTATTTTCCTAAATTAAGCATTCATTTCTGTAATATATCTGATGCTTTTACTTTTTAAGAATATAAATATGTTTTGATGTCACAAGCAAACGTGACGTGTCAATTTCCTTCAGATATTATTGTTTAGTTGTCCTATAACATTCTAAATTGTATATGCATTTTAATGTGACAAGAAGAATTTAAATTTTTTTAACTAGTGTTATAGCGGGCATCACAGCTTTTGAAAGCACTTTGTTACCGATCCTCAAAATAAATTATCCAATAAAGAAACGAAAAATCAGTGATAACATCATGATAATTTTTCTTCTAAGTAACGTATTGATAAATGTTAGTCCGATGATTATTATTAAAAAAAAAAAAATATTTTAGTTTAAACTTGTTTCGTACTTGCGTTCTTCGTGTTCTACCATTTAGGTTTATTTTTAAAAGGAACCCGTTTTACCTTATTTACTTTTAATGACTTCTTATTATAGTGTTTTAGTTAGAAATATGTACATATATAAATTTTTTCTTTTTTATCCATTTTCAATGCAGCTTTTAATGTAAAATACATATGTACATACATACGTATGTACAGTATGTATGTGAAAGTCGAAAATTCGAGTTTCGATTTTGAGCTTACTTCTTATTATTAAATAATAATCTAAATCTTTCCTTTTTATCCATATTAATGTTTTTTTTATTTGTTACTTTAATCTTAAATTTAAAATATTTTATTAATTATAAATACTGATTTGAAATTAAAAATTTAAAATTGAATACTTAATCCAGAACTCGCGACCTTGCATATGTACTATATTAATATACAATTAAAAAAAAAAATGTATAAAATGCTCACTCACCAAGTTTTACAAGTTTGCACAAATATTACTGAGCAGCTACTTTGAAATTTAAATGTTTTTCATAAAACGCGCGCATTTCCCGTAAAATATTAACGAAACATTAACATTTCCCGGAAATACGAACAATATTCCGGAACACTTCGAAATTCGAATTTCACTTTGCACTACCCTAATATGAAAGCACAGCTGAGCGAAGCCTTGCTAAAATGGCTGCCTTCACCAAAATGCCACTTGCGGCAACTTTTGCACATTAACTAAAAACCACTTGCAATGCTCTTTTTTACACCCGCAAACAGAACATAAGCTTTTAATGAACTTAAAAAGCATGCTGAAACACTTTTCAATGCTAAAATGGAAGCTTTATTAAAGAAAACTTGCCTGCACAAAAGTGGCGACAGGCGCTTCGACGAGTGGACGAGCAAACACACCAGCACCATTATAAGCATATATTTACACTATATTTCTTATATTTCACATTACACACACACAATACACAATGAAGCACAACTTAATAACACTTTTTTTTCACTTTACACAGCAAAGAACACAATAATTTAACAAAAACTTGCAATATAAACGCGCAACGAAAACTGTCGAATATACGCACGAAAACTAACGGAACGGAAGCCATTATTGTCGATAAAGTAGTGCATTGGCTTTGCCTATGGTTTGCCTTAGCTTCAATTGGTTTTCGAATACGATAACAGCTGTTTACAGAAACTGTCAGCTGTGCATATATGCGACCGCATTTCCAATAGGCGGCCTTTGGTTTTGTAATTTCATATTTTCTCTAATAAAATTTAAATAAAAAGTGTGCCAGCATGCCTTTCATGAAGGGACGCGCGCCTATACGGCGTACCATTGAATATTTAAATGCCGGCCGCCTTGTGCTCAAAGAAAAAGTGAAAATCTTTAGCGTGAACTATAATGTGTATGGTGACCACCACAAAGGCGCCAGGTGAGTGTTATCCAACGCTGTTCAACTGCTTAGTTATGTATCAACTACATATATTCTTATATGTTTATAGAGACTTTGTGTTTTGGAATTTGTGTCAAATACAGTATAAAAATCCAAATGTACAAGTGGTGACATTTAAGAACTTGACGCCTTCCCCGTTTGTGCGCTGCTACTTTGAGGACGGACGTGATATGCTTATCGATATAGATAGCCGAGATCGTGAGGAAATTATAGAACATCTCTGCAAAGTTGTTGGCAAGTCAAAGTGAGTACTGTAGAGAAATGTATTCCTAAACCTACAGCGATAATTCCGTAACTGTTAAGATTGTTATATCCTGGCAGGGTAAATTAAGTTACCCACGAATATTTTCCGTCTGCTCGTCCGTCTATATATACGCGAACCTAGTCCCTCAGTTTTTGAAATGTCGCTCTGCCGACTACGGACTAATATAGCATAAAGCTGTGACACAAACTGTGCGACCAAAACCAAGTTCTTACATAGAAAACTTTATTTGTGAATGTTTTTTTATTTACAATTTTCTTTATTTCTATTCACTTTAAGAGCCCAATTGGACGCAGAGGCGCATTTAGCGGAGAGTAAAGACAATCCTGCCAACTTTGGTTATGGCTGCGATAGACATTGCATCTGTGAGATACCCGGTCAAGTGCCATGCCCTGGCACTGTTAAATTGCCCGATCATCTGCGTGGCAAGCACATATTTGCCCCAAAGTAATTTGAAAAAAAAAAAACACATTTTACGTTTTAGCTTAATTTCTAAATAAAACACACATGTACAGTTACAACGTTTACAAATAAATCACTTTATTTGGCTTAAGTCTCTGAACACAATATTTGATAAGTATACGGATGGATAGCGCGCATATGAGTACAATTATAAATACTTGATGAAATTGATGAAAGTCCAGATACATTGTTCCACTATACAAAATAAACACTAAACAGAATTTGTCAATACTCTACGTCGTTTCCAGTTTCTATCTTCGTTTTGGCCGCTGATGTCGGTTATATGGCGCAGAACTATATGACTTTGTGTAGGTGCGCCCGCCTGAGGTACTACTGCTTGTATCACGGTCTTTGTTGAATTGATAGCGTTGTATAAACGGCACTTGTGTGCTAGCCGAGTTCAAAAGATTTAACTCCAACTCTTCCTCACCGTTGCGTTCCAGCGCACGTAATTTTGACTCGATGGCTCGTATCGCATCTTCTCTACTCATTTTGTCGTCGCGTGAACTGGAGCCAAGGGCAGGTATTTCGATGCGTGGTTTTTGCTTGTTGAGTTCGTCCTAAACAACATGAACGTTAATATATGTATGTATAAGTAATTACTATTTGAAGGATATGCGTGTCTAATTAAAATATGTGTACACACTTACGTAATTAACATTCTTCGCCAGTCGTATCACAATCGGTCGATTCGCTATAGGTGTGCCATTTAATTTCTCCAGAGCTTTTAACGCCGCGTCAGCCTATTTAAAGTGCTACATTAGTAAAAATACAAATGTAGCTGGTTATTTGATTCCTCACCGTTCCAAATGTCACGAAAGCATATCCGCGCGATTGCCCAACCAATGGGCCGCTCTTGTGAAAGAGCATATCAAACTTTTCGACAGGACCGCATTTTTGCAAAATTTTCAAGAGTTGATACCAATAATAGCAACGCACGAAAATGAAATTGACAGATTAGTTTAACTGCACAAACCATAATTTGCAATTTAGTTAAGGAACTATTAACTTACTCGCTAAGCCTTGGATCTAAATTGCCTATCCATATGCGTCGTTCTTCTAATACACCACCACTACCGCTGTTGCAACTTTTTCCACTGCTAGTCGCCTGTAAAACCAATTACATTAAAATTATATAAAGCACAATAAATGTATTTGTAAACTTACCATTATTTATTTATTTTTATAATTTTGTAATTTGTAAACAAAAGTATTTGCCAAAGTATACTAACGAAGAACGCAAAGAAATCAATCAATAAATAATATGCGTTTGACATTTCTCTATGGAAACATGCGGAAAGCGGGTTTTTACAGTGTTGCAAAGTGACGAGTCAATAATAACACAACGTTTAATTTGTCAATAACTATTCTATTAAAATTATCGTTAAATATTAAACTTTGTTATATGAATAGATATAAATAATTTAAATTTATTCAAGTATTTAATTAGTTATTTAAATCATCTCTGCACTGTTTATTGAATTTTATTTTGTTTGCAGGTTTGGGTACACAAACAACGTGGCAACATTTAATTGCAGTCTACTGTACTCACAAAACAGCTGATCAAAATCTCTTTACATTTTAGTATTTCGTTAATTTTAAGTAAAAAATTAATTTTAATAAATGGAAATTACATTGGCGCTTCTTAAACCACATGTTGTTCGTAATGTCTACGCATTTCGAGAGATAAAACAAATTATACAGCAGAATTTTACAATACTATACACCAAAGAAGTGCTTATTACGAAAGAGTTGTCTGAACATTTCTATGCCGAGCACAAAGGAAAATTCTTCTACAACCGACTGGTCACATTCATGGGCAGGTATTAACATATATATCCCTAAAACCTCAAATACTATGTTTACCATTCTTTGTTGCCAGTGGCCCTTGTCATGCCTTTGTTTTGCAGTCAAAAGGCAGCATTAGTAAGTGGCGCGAGTTGATGGGACCAACAAAGGTTTTCAAAGCTGTGTACTCACATCCCGATTGTATACGTGGGTTATATGGTCTCTCAGATACGCGTAATGCATGTCATGGTTCCGATAGTGAAGAATCTGCGACCAGAGAAATTTCTATTTTATTCCCCGAGTTAAATATAAATCAATTAACAGCTATTGACAGCAATAGTTGACGGAGGGATTATGTCACCCTGGAACTGTTTTGAATGCATTTATTTGAGCACATGTAGATGTTAAAATCCATAAGGACAAAAATTTCTAAATACTAAGTAATGTAAATGTTAGCAAGATTGTTAAATTCAATTCAACGGCGCATGTTATTTAATGTAAGGTGAGTTTTTTGTTTTGCCATCTAATTAGTTGAGTGTTTTTTATTGCTGTTAAAAAGTAATATTTGAAACTACAGACTTGATTAATCATTTGGAGACCAAGTAATCAAACAAAATAAACAAATTTATTCTCTTGATTGGATAAAGTTGTAAAATTTGCACGAATTTTTTTTAGGACATACAGTGATTTTGAACTTTCTACAAAACTTGATACATTTCATAACTTTATATAAAGTTCTGACCTTCTATACAATTTTATATCCAAAACTACTTCTCTTGCGAAAAGTCAGTACAGATGGAATTTAAAAAGCCTAACAACAGATAAAACAACCTTCGCAACTACCATTATTTGAATGCCATTAGATGTCTTAACTTTGTTGTGGTGAGATAGCATTCTTCAAATAGTTTTGAGAAATACCGAGTTCTGTGTAGAAAATGTTAACATAGTTGCAGAAAACATTATTTTGATGAATGCTGCCGACTTGTTCAATGTGTTCTGATCGCCACTCACTTGGGAGTGGCCAGAAACGATTCTTTAACATATGGCTCAAGCAGTTCACTACTTCCGGTCTTAGACCAAGTACCCTCTGTGCAGCCGAAATATATTCGTTTAAAGCCAAGCTAAATGAGAAGGCGAATCAAACCTCCGCCGTGCGCTGGGTTTAGGACCCGTCACCTAAACAAATACCCCACGAAACAACAACAACCTCTGCGCTGCTATAAACTCGTCTATAATCGCGTACATGGCATATATGCCAATAAAGAGGAAGGAGAATGACGTTCAGAATGTCTGTCGAAAATTGGTCGCGTCCAAAAATTGTCTGAAAAATGAATTTTGAATCCCAACATCGGAATTAAGAAATGAAATTTGAATTTTTATTTAAAGATGTGTTTTTTATTTACCAATCCGGTATTTGGCCTATTAAAGCAACATTTTAATTGTTAATTGGAATTATTATTTTTTTTATTTAATACGGTATTTGGGATTACAGAATTAAAAATAATATGTACTACCTATATTTTCGACAAAAAAGAAATTAAGTTAAAATAATTATGATTCAAATATTTATTGCATTATAATAAATGTATAAACAAATACATTAAACAGACAATCGATTTATTATTTAATAAAAAGTTTTTATTTAATCCCAATATGCCAAATACCAGATTAAAAAATCAAAATAATTTTAATTCCAAAAATTGGAATAATTACATAAATACATAATCTTAAATTGCCTAATTAAAAAGTTTATGGTGATTATAAATTTTCAAAATGTCGAATTGAGTTACAAATTAAACATAATCCATTCAGAAACACTTTGCTTAACTGTACATATGTACATATAGTTTTCATTTTGAACTACCCTAACTCGAATCTTCATAATATACAAAAAAAATTCTCGGGTTAGAGAGACTTCAAGTTATGGAAGTAAATTTGTATCAAATTTTACTTCTATTGCCAATTTACGAGTTCGAGTTTTGGAATTTCAAATGTACTATTTTTATTTGTTTTCAATTAACTATGAATTATTTTATTTAAAATTATTGGAATAATAGATGCAGAGAACGCATATTTTTATCAGAAAACGTTTATTATAGAGAAGGTTTCACGTAACTTTTCGCAAGGGGTACTCGGCAGAGATGAGGGAGTCTCACCACAGACAAATTATAAGCGTGTTTCACCACGAAAACAGCAGAATTGAGCATTTTCAGTGTTAAATGAGAAAAATAATGCTAATTCCAATGTAAACAAATTTACGCCTAGAGATTCGTTTATTTTCTATGCGCAACCGACTCGGCACATAATTTATAGACACATGATCCGCATATATTTATTTGGTATCAAAACATATACTTAGTATATATGTATGTATATTAAAATTCATTTACATATGTATTTCATGATGATTCCATAAAATCATTAAAAATATAATATATAATAGAGTAAAGTTTGTGTTATTACCCAAATAATTGATATAAGTTAAAGTAATTAGTTTTAAATTTACCTTAAAAGTTTCGATATCATCTTAAAAGATCTAGCGGTCGCACATGTGCTCATATATGTACATATAATTATATGTCATATAAAATATGACAGACCATACGCATAATGTTTGCAAATTTGTCTACATGCAACATATGCATGTAAATATGTACACTCAATGCTTCATGAGAAATCTCCGTTCACACGGACAGCCAATGGCGAAGCTCACTTTTTTTCAAAGAGTCAATGTGACGACAATGCGTCACAACATTGTATTGTTGGTAGATAATCCGAGCTGTGCGAAAAAAAAAATAAACGAACGGCTGCCGATTGTCTCCGCTTCCCTTGCCGCTCTATGTTTATACATATACATATATAAAGTGTAATAAATAAAAGCTTTTGCTCAAAATGTAAAATATGCCGAGGTTATTCAAAGTGTTTGTGCTGCAGAAAAGTGAAGCCGCAAGTGCATTCAAAATGGCTACGAAGGCAGTGCTTTTAGCTGAATGAGTGAAATTTTGGCTCATATTATAAAGAGTCTATCATATAAAGAAGAGCCAAAGAAAGTGAAGGCTTTATGTTTAAATAATGTGCAAGTGTTTGTGAAAATTGAAAGCGCTAATAAAAATTTACATCAATTAAATCGGTCGGTTGAAACTAAATTCGATTAAAATAAATCGCACTTAAAGTTCCATTTCCAGTTTAGGCACAATGGTATACTATATGATGGTTTCATCAAATATTGGCAAATACAAATATCCAACATAAAGTCACCAGTAGGTTCGAAATCTTTATATGAAGTATATGGGGGCTCAGGGAAGTATTGACCCAATTTAACCCATTTTTGATACACAGAAATACTGTTGTAAAAATAAAATTTGCGGTCAAAAGTCAACTATAGATACTGGGGTCCACATATTCGGTACCTAGGATCCTGAAAAGCTTTGGTTGGATTTGCAAAATTTCACGAAAGGCATTATTCGTGCAAAGTTTAATCCCATTATATTATATTAATTGCTTCTTGCTTTCTGTACTGGAAAGGAAAATAATCAGGTGGAATTTAAAATTGTGCTATATGGGAAGTAGGCGTGGTTATTGTCCGATTTTACTCATTTTCACGGAATGACATAGAAATATGAAAAGAATGCTACCTTCCAAATTTTGTCGAAATCAGTCAGTAGGTTCCCGAGATATGAGATTTCACCAAAAGGTGGGCTGTGGCGCAATTTTTACCCCGGCCCATATAAAGAATTGCCATACCATCCCGGTGGAAAATTTTTATGTTTCTGGCACATTTAGTTATCGATTTATTGCGCTTTTAGTAGTTTTGAACAGTACCGTTATATGGGGAATGAGTGGGGTGTTAATCCGATTTCATACGTTTTTATACTATCGGTAGGAGTTCTTGCAAAATTCGTGCTGGGCGAATTTGGTTGTTGTAGACTTAACGGTTTAGGAGATATGTACATTAAACTTTTAGAGGGCGAGGCCACGTCCACTTTTTGAAATTTTTACCCTCTGTGCTTCTTGCTCAAAGATCCTTTCTACCAAATTTGAGTTATATAACTTAATTTAGTTCTCAATTATGGCACTTTATAGGTTTTCGGTTAATGGCGTTTGTGGACGTGGCAGTGGTACGACTACGCCCAATTTTTTTTTTTTTTTTTTTTTTTTT